AACTGTGCTGCTATAAACATGGGTGCACATATATCACTGTGGTATGATTCTTTTAATTCTTTTGGGAAGATACCCAGCAGAGGAATAGCTGGATCAAATGGGACCTCTACTCCTAGCTCTTTGAGGTATCTCCATACTGTTTTCCACAATGATTGCTCCAGTCTGCACTCCCACCAACAATGGAGAAGGGTTTCTTTCTCCCCACATCCCCGTCAGCATTTGTTATTGTTTGATTTCTTGATAGCAGCCATTCTTTCTGGAGTGAGGTGGAATCTCAGTGCTGTTTTCATCTGCATCTCTCGAATAACCAGTGATGTTGAACATTTTTGCACATATATATATTTGCTGCTTTTAGTTCTTTGTCTGAGAAATGTCTGTTCATTTCACATACCCATTTTTGAATTGGTTTTTTTAATTTGGGGGGTCTGATTTTTTTCAGTTCTTTATATACTCTAGATAGTAGTGCTTTTTCTGAGGTACAGCTGCTAAAAATTTTTCCCCACATTGTAGGTTGTCTCTTAGCTCTGTTGATGGTTTCTCTTGCAGTGCAAAAGCTTTTTAATAAGATCAGGTCCCACTTGTTGATTCTTTGTGCTAGTTCCTGTGCTACTGAGGTTTTGTTCATAAAGTCTTTTTCCTATGCCAATGTCTTCAAGAGTTCTACCTAACTTATCTTCCAGCAAGTTTAGTGTTTCTGCTTTAATATTTAGATCTTTAATCCACTTTAATCTTAGTTTAGTGAATGGTGATAGGTATGGGTCTAGTTTTAATATTTGGCAGGTTGAAATCCAGTTTTTCCAACACTGTTTATTAAATAGGCTATCTTTCCTCCAACGAGGGTGGTTGGCTCCTTTGTCAAAGATGAGGTGGCTGAGTATGTCTGTAGTTGTTTCTGCATCTTCTAGTGTGTTCCACTGATCCTCAGGTCTGTTTCTTTGCCAGTATGCTGTTTTTGTCATAGTGGCTTTGTAGTATAGTTTCAAGCTGGGGATTGTGATACCCCCTGTAGCCATATGTACTTTAAATATTAAATGCTTTGGGCTGAGGAAAAAAAATAGTCAAATTGAATGTTCTCTTTGTCTTTGGGTTTGTAATGGCTTTGTAAACAAATGTAGTCTCCTTTCTTAATTATTTTACATTTTCTGCTCTTAGAATTTTATGGCTTTGTATTCATTTAATTTCCTGTTTTACTGTCAATATTTAATGTTTGTTATTGAGAGTCACCTGAATGTTTGAGATACTCATGACTAAAAATTTGGTCTTATTTTAGCTTATAATAAGGAGCAAACCTCATTTAAAGACTACTCAAAGTTCAGTCAGAAACCTTGTATATTCTTGTTTTGATTTTTGCCTGATCCATTAACCTAACATGACTGGCTCTGCTGACCATGATACACTCAAGGAGAAGAAGCCTTTACTTAATAGGATGAGGAGTAATGAGGAAAGATTCCCAAATGAGCAGTGTACATGCGCTCAGAACCTGCTGATAAGTCAGGTCCTTGTTGCTGTCAAAAGCCGTGAGCCAAAGGACCACTCTAAGATAAGTGAGGAGTAGCTGCTAACACAATGAAGGGTTTCTAAGCATTAAGTTTAAATTATAACTTGATTCTTAAAAATCAAACATTTGTAGCTGTTAGAAATACTGTTTTGCATAAATCACCCTGCATCTCTATTCTAAAGCAGTCTTGTGTTTTATAAAATGACTCTGACCAGTAAAATAATGGCCTACCAAATTTGTATTGCCTCTGTTTTTCATTTTTATGTCTTTTATTTTCATGTTTTGTCTTACTGCTTTCTTGTCACAGATTTAAAGTATAGTGTGTTGTCTCCAGAAAAAGTCTCGTTGAAACTGAACTAGAAGGAAAGGTTATAGGGGAAGTTGGTCTATATTTGCTTCTATTAAAAAATGAAAATTTGTGTTCCTGTAGTTTGCTTTGTCATACACTGAAGCTTATTTATCTTATTTTATTATTATTATTATTATTATTTTTTGATACTGGCCATCGAACTTGGGACCTTGTGCTTGCTTACGAGGCAAGGAGCAGAACCACTGAACTAAATCCCCGGCCCCAAGCTTATTTATTTTAAAAACACAGTGATACTGATGAGAAAAAGCTATCTGACCTATGGAAGTAGCCAATTTCAGCTTAATTCTATTTGAGATTTTTTTTTGGTACCAGGAATCGAACTCAGATCCTTGTGCAGCAGGCGGCGAAACCACTGAGCTAAATTCCCAGCCCTCTATTTGAGATTTTTAAAGTGCCTATCAATGGGTCTCTAACTCTCATTATCTTTGTTAACATGGGAACAGTCAATGGCAAACATAATTCCCAATAGTAGATACAGTAATAGTTTTGGCTGATAAACATTTATTGTGATTTGAATCTGGATGATCATCATAATAAGAGTTCATGCAAGATTTCTAGGGAACTAGAAAGAAAGCTAAAAGGAATCCCTTTCTTATAATTTCTCATTTTTAAACTATATTAAAAGATTTATATTCCTTAACTCTCAATGTTTAGTTCTCTGAGCAAAATAGAAGATTCTTTTAATCAGTTAATTGATAACTTTGCTTTTTTTCTTTAATTCTTGGAGAAGTTAGAAGCACAGCTTTTTTTCCTCATTATGAATAAATAATTATGGTACTTTCAGCTACCATCTATTAAACTTTTAAGTGTGTTTAAATATAAATTATTTTGATACCAAAATTTTGGATTACTTCATATATAGTTGTATTTTTATCATAATTTTCAGTTATAACATCACTGTATTGTTTTTTATTTGTTAGATACACACAAATCCATGTTTTTATCGGTCTTCTGAGAACAGCCAGCTCTTACCAATGAAGATAAATCTTTGGCACTGGTTGAATCCTGGAGATAGTTTTTCTTTGTTAGCTGACAAATACATTTTTTGTGTTGTGTCAACACACTCTGAAATGGAAATAGAATGTACCTTAAGGTAAGGTTGCCTGGTAAAATGAGGTAATAATGATAACATTTGTAATCAAATTCCTTAGCATTGTAAGTGCTTTGATAGAAACCATTCTAGAATTAAAATGTATTGAAGCTATAGTAGCAACATTATTTGTGTGTGTATGTTTGTGTGTGTGTGTGTGTGTGTGTGTACTCGCCTATGTGTGTTTCTAGAAAGCATTTGACTTTGGAAATTTGTAATGCGTCAATGTTTCCAATATGTGTTATTTTTTACCTTTGTATTTTCTATCCAAGATAGAAACCAGGATAGTAACCAGGGTAATTAATTTGAAATTGATTACATCTTCCTCATTTTTCAAAACCTTTTAAAATTTTATTAAGATAATATTAACCTCTGATTTAGACCACACTTATTTAACCATTTTTATAAAAATAACAGAAAGTACAGCATTTGAAATCTGAGGAAAATAATAAGCATATTGATTCTGGTGAAAAGTAAAAATGCACACCATAGATTTTTGAGCTAGTCATTTAAAGACGATTTGGGAGAGATTCAACATGGCTTAATGGAGAAGGAACCATGTTGGAGTTACTCAGAGAAAGTCAATTTAAAACGAGTACAGTGGGGCCAGGGATTTAGCTCAGTGGTTTTGTTGCCTGCCTTGCAAGTGCAGGGTCCTGAGTTCCATCTCTGGTACCAAAAAAGAAACAACAAAAGAAAATACAATGAACCTTCAAGTTATGACCAGCTGGATATACAAACAACTTGGGTTATGACAGGAATTTTAGTTTTAACTTACAACCAAAGTCTTGAATTACGACCTGAATGCTGACCACTTGTGCTTCCAGATGGTCTCAGATACGGATTTAACCCTTAAAGAACTCTGAAAGGAACATTACAACATCCTTTCCTGTGTGGGGTTAATTGAGAAATCCTGGGCCAGCATCTCTCTAAGGACATTGAGATCTGTCTGTAATTCTGGAGAGAGACTTTGAAGGCTGTGTAGAGGAGCCTGAGCCTTCAGTTGACCAACTTGAGTTACAACCAGTCCTAGGGAATGAATTGAGTTCATAAGTCAAGGATCCACTGTGATTGGAAGAAGGGGGGAGCATACATCCTAATTCCAAAATCAATCTGAAATAAGAGACTTATAGATCAAACAAAACATAGGCATTTGATTTTATAAAATGGCAAACCAGCCCACAGGGCTGCCAGTGGCACTGCCACTGGCATGCAGAACAGGAACTGCCATTCTGGGAAGTTCCCTAAAAAACCTGATGGATGGCAAAAATGTGGCAAACTCAGTCCACTCAGTGTAGATCTGGGATATAAGGCCCCTTGCTTTTTTTGCCTTCCTGCAAACAGAGGGTGCTGCAGCCTGACAACAAATTTTGCTGGCACACACAAGGGTGAGTGACCAGAAAGCTGTACTTCTAAGAAGTCCAAGAGAAAGAAATAAAGGAATAAAGATAGGAAAGGAAGAAGTTAAATTATCATTATTTGTTAATTTGATATTTTACATAGAAGATCCCAAAAACTCCACCAAAAGACTTCTAGATGTAATAACCAAATTCAGTCACATAGCTGGATACAAAGTCAACACTCAAAAATCAATAGCATTCCTCTTTACAAACAGTAAACTTAGTGAGCAAAAAATTAGGGAAACCATACCTTGCCTTTCACAATAGAATAAAAAAAAATGAAATACTTAGGAATCAGTCTAACAAAGGAAGTAAAAGATCTTTACATTGAAAACTACAGTACTCTGAAAAAAGGAGATTGAAGAGGTTATCAGAAAATGGAAAGATACCCCTTGCTCGTGGGTAGAAAGACCCAACATAGTTAAAATGGCTATACTTCCAAAATTGTTATACAGATTTAACACAATAGCAATCAAAAATGCCTATAACATACCTCACAGAACTAGAAAAACCAATCCTAAAGTTCATTTGGAGCCAGGAGAGACCTGGAATAGCAAAAACAGTTCCGGGCAATGAAGGCAAAGCAGGAGGCATCACAATCCCTGATTTGAAATTATACTACAGAGCTACTGTGATAAAAACAGCATGGTACTGGCAAAAAACCCCCCAAAACAAAACAAAAGAACAGACCTGAGGGTTAGTGGAACAGATTAGAAGATGCAGGAACAATGCCAAACACATTTAGCCACTTTATCTTTGATAAAGGGGCCAAACACCTTCACTGGAAGAAAGATAGCCTCTAATAAATGGTGCTGGAAAAACTGGCTTTCCACATGCTGAAGACTAAAACTAGACTCATGTATCTCACCATGCACTAAACTAGAATAAAAGTGGATCAGAGATCTAAATATTAAAACAGAAACCCTAAATCTGCTAGAAGGTAGAATAGGTAGAACTCTTGAAGACATAGGTGTAGGCAAAGACTTTATGAGCAAGACCTTGATCGCATGGGAAATATTACAAAGAATCAACAACTGGGATCTCATCTTATTAAGCTTTTGAACAGCAAAAGAAATCAACAGTGAAGAGACAACCAACAGAGTGAGAAAAAATTTTTGCCAACTGTTCCTCAGATGAAAGACTAATATCTAGACTATATAAAGAAGTGGAAAAACTCACCCCCCCACCAACTTAAAGACCCAATCCAAAAATGGACATCTGAGATGAATATACACTTCTCATATGAAGATGTACAAATGGCAAATAAATAAATAAATGTTCAACATCACTGGTCATTTGAGAGTTGTAAATTAAAACAGCACTAAGATTCCATCTCAGTCCAGAAAGAATATCTGTTATCAAGAAATCAACCAATAACAGGCTGGCGGGGCTGTGGGGAGAAAGGAACCCTTCTTTACTGTTGATGGGTGTGTAGACTGGTACAACCGTTGTGAAATCAGTGTGGAGATTCCTCCAAAAACTAGGACTAGAGGTTCCATTTGACCCAGCTCCCCCTACTTGGTATCTTCCCTAAAGAATTAAAAGCATCATACCACAGCAATATATGCACATCCATATTCATAGCAGCACAGTTTGTGATAGTGAGATCTTGGAAACAGCCCAAATGTCCATCAACCGATGAATGGAGAAGAGGATGTGTTTTTTTTTTGTATACAATGCAGTATTACTCAGCCATAAAGAAGGATAAACTTGGGACATTTTATTAGTAAATGGGCACACCTTGAGATCATACTCTTTAATTGAAATGGACACGTGTAAATATTGCATTGTTTCTCTGGTGTGAATAAGGACCAATATGTATAATATGTTGTAAAATAGGAAGAAAATGTTCAAATGAGAAGGAGCACTAGGGAGGGGGAAGGGGGGAAAGCAAGGAGGGGGGAAAGCAAGGAAGGGGGAAAAAAACCAAGAAAACTGTGTTAAAATGGAAACAAAGCATTTGTAAATGAGGGGAAGAGACCTTGAAGGGAGGGGAGGGAAATGGAAAAAAATATAAGAATCAAGATATGTACAGCTACAAATTCCCTATGATAAAAGTGATCATTATGTATATATAAATTATATCAATAAACTTAATAAAAATTATTTGGCTTTGTTTCAGATTTTAAGTTACAGAATACATAAACTAGACTTGGAGAAGTAGATGGACAAAATTATGTATATTTTCTCATTGCAGTGAAATTAACTCCAAAATTAATAACATTAAAATATGTGTAAAATCTTAACATTTTGAAGTTAACATACTTCTAAAAAACTTTTGGGTCCAAGAGAAATCACAAGGGAAATTAGTAAACATTTTGAATAGAAGAATACTGAAAATAGCATAAAATTTGTGAAAGGTAAGTAAATTAATACTTGGATGTGTATTTACAGCTGAAAGCCTATAGTGGAAAAGAAAGTTATAAAACCAATGACCTCTGCCTCTACTTTGAGAAGATAGACATAGCTGTGTGTCTAAGGTTGTGTGGGCACAACCTTGTAATTCAGGCACTCTGCAAGGCTGAGGCAAGAGGATAAAAAGTTTGAGCCTAGCCCAGGCAGTTTAGTAACTTAGCCAGACCCTATCTCAAAATAAATTATAAAAAAGGCCTGGGGATGTAACTTTATTGTGAAGACCTTCCTTTAATCTCTGGTACTGAAAAAAAAACACAAAAAAGAAGCAAATTAATCCCAAAGTAAACAGAAAAAAAGAGAAATAAACAAGACTGAAAGTTCGTGAAATAGAAAAATGGAAGATCAGCAAAGCTATAAGTTGATTCTCTAAAAAGATTAATACAATTGATAAAAATCTTAAGTCTTCCTAAGGGGGGAAAATTTGGGAAAACACAGATTATCAGTATCAAGAGTGGAAGATGGGATATCATTGTTAATACTACAGGTCTTAAAAGAATAGTGAAGAAATATTACTTGAAATTATGCCAATAAATTTGATAGCCTGAGCAAATGGATACATGTTTTTAAAAATACAACTTGTCAAAATATATACAAGAAGAAATAGAAATCCTATGAATCTTATACCCATTAAGAAGTTGAATTGATTAAGAACTTCCCAAAAGAAACTTTACTGGCAAGCTCTGTTAAGCTTACAAGGAAGAAATAATACCAATATTATCTTTTCTCCCTCAAAAGAGAAATATAGAGACTTTCTAACTCATTTTATGAAGCTTCTATAATTTTGACATCAAAATCAAACAAGACTTTATAAGGAAAACAAAAATGAAAACAAAAGTACAGATCAGTTTTCCTCATAACAAAATATTTACAAATCAAATCCAGGAGTATATAAAAAGGATAATATGCTGTGACTGAGGGATACTTGTCCAAGTGTCGCTGTGGGTAGTGGGATCCCAGAACAAGCTTCCAGGTTCTTATGCATAATGAACAAAGAATTAGACATGGCACATAATGGTGAGGAAAAAGCTAAGTTTCAGGAAATTTAAGTGGTGAAGGTATGCTCAGAGTGAGTGTCCTCATGCCAGCAGAAAGGAAAATGGCAGAGCGTGGAATATCCCTGGCTAAAGAATTTGAAATGTTGTACTGGGCTGGTGGCATCTCTCATTGGGTCTTTCAGAGCATGATTGA